AAATGGTCACTCTTTTGTGGTGACTTTAGGATTACACTTTTCTTCTTTCAGAATTTCAACACAAAAACACTATGTAGGCAACAGGTTCACCCCCATAACTTCTGTAGGTGCCATAGCAAGCCTTATTAGTGCCTGTGCACTTCATTAATGTCTGTGTTTTAAGCGTATGTTCCCTCCAGCACCTTGACCTGGAAATCAAGGATTGTGAACTTCAGTACAGATGAGCTCTGAACAGAAGCTGCGTGTGAAAGGCCCCTTCCTCTGGAAGTAATTATGTTCAACATTAATTGAATTAATATCAAATAGAATAAGTATCTTTCTACTGGCCTATAACACAATGCAAACTCATCCAGAATAAACACATTGTAAATAACTATCAGCTATCATCCCTGTTGCCCCGTATGTACTTCTGTGTTAGAAGGGAGGAAGCACTATGGGAAAGAAATGCTCCTCTGAACATAAATCATTAATTTAAATTGTTCCCCTCCAACATCAGACAGAAAGAGATCCTTCTTTTTTGACACAAGATGCCACAATCCAGCAGTTTCTGCCCATTTCTTAAGCAGCATCTGCATGGCAGGAGAGGGAAGAGGACAGTTATTCCCACCAAGACCACTTGAGTCACCTGTATGTCCTTTCCCGTGTCTACATAAAAATTCCTGAACTAGCAGATTTGCCACAGAGTCCTGAGGTGGAGGAGATGGGACAACCACAGGGCAGAGCCACACAGCCTCCCCCATGCACTGGGTATGTTTAGGGGGACCTGGGCTCCCACCTGTCATAAAACAGCAACTCCTCCCCCACATCAATCACATGAAAAAATAAAAATCACCTACATTACACAATAAAGAAAGAAAACAACAAAACTCATATTCCTCACAGGGTCAGAGGTCAAAGCCTCCAGAGACTGGAACAGATTTTGATTAGAAGCATCACCTCAAAGAACACAAGAGCTTTTCAAATGGTAGGACAGACCTGACAGTCTTTTCTGCAACAGAGCCTCCTTTACCAGCAGCACACATTACCACACCAGGCCTTATGAATTATAAAGTCTCAAGGTAAGGAAGCCAGGCATCAAACAAACACCTCACCCCAGTGACAATTTAATTGAATCAATTTACCTGCTCTGTGAGGAGACAATTGAGTCCATCAACCTCGAGGAGCACTTCTCTGCTGACATCATTTCAAGCACATCTTTTGTTCAAACAGCCTGGCCAATGCCAATAATTTTAAAGTTATTTAATAGCAGAACTGCCCATAACTCGTGCATAAATTAACAACACTAGAAGTACGGGTGGCTGAAAAGCAGAGAGCAAACAGAATAGTTCATCGTATCCAAAGGAGATGGAACAACATCGATTTTCAGCTCACAAGAAGTATCGATGACAAAGTCAGCATCTTCATATCAGACACAATCAGAGTTATAATTAAGTGCCAGAAAAATAAATTAGAAAATAAAACAGAAGCAGAAGTAATATTGATGACTACTTTTGCTAGTTATTGGTAGTTTGCTAAATTCTGTCACTGACCTCTATAAATATTTAAATTTTGGTAAAGAATTTCCTTATGTGTTTCACCCCTGTATCCAAAACACACTGCAGAAATCACTGCAGCTCAAGCAGGAAGCTAAAGCTTTCTCTCTGTGTCTGTATTCAAGGGATATCTCTTATTTGTACACTTTGAAAGTGACTTACTTTATGTTTGAAACAAAAAGTATTTGGATTCCATTACACACAACAAAAAAGTTTTGGTACACATTTAATACTGACAATTAAGAGTTAAAGAGAACCTTTTGGTTCTCTTATTTTGGTCTCATATTTTGGTCTTTTGGTCCTCATATTTTACCTGTCAAAAAACTCAGTCTTAAGAAACTTGGTACGGCATATCTAGGCATAGATTTGGGTTTTTACTCAAACAAAAGCAATAGACATCATGCAGAAATTGCTGCTACGATTCAGCAGATGGTGTTATCCTAGAAATCAGAGCTGGAGACAGCAATAGTAATTTCTGCCCTTCATGTCCCTCTGCCTGTTTATTTTATCCCAATTACGTGTGATTGATTCTCTAAAAGACAATTCCTGAATTTCTTACTGCATATATCTGATGGTGAAAATTAGAATAGCCCTTTTTCTGCCTGACTCCAGGAAGGTTTTAACTGACTGCCAGCACCAACTACACAGCTGTTAAATCCACCCTTTTAAGAAAAGTCATTCCTAGTTCTCGTCAGTGTAAGCACCAGAACAGACCTTCCTTTATTACTTCACGTTAATTTCTTCAGTTTGTCTTTCCAGGTACAGCTCAGAAACCTGCTATCTCAGGTGTCCCCGCTGATAAGGGACAGGTACCTGGAGTGTTTGGGTGCTGCTGGGGGAGCTGCTCTGTGAGCGGCGCCACTCCCAGCATCAGCCTCCTCTGCCGGTACCAGGGAGCAGCCTATCGATCCTCCCGCCTCAGTGCAAAGCCCAGCTGGTTGCTAAAAGCCTCGCAGAGAGGTTTAGTTGTTTCAACTCTGTTTTTTTTAACAAATTATGAGTTCATGCTTTTCCATGTGGTAACTGCGAATTTGGGAAGAGTTCAGGCTGTTTAATATAAGATTGGGTTATCAGAGCAGCTAATCTTTAAACCATATACATTAATTTTTTATTTGATGCGAGCATGTAAGACAATGGTTATGCTTTACAAATCCAGAATACAAGTCAGGACAAGGTGTAGAAGAAAAAAATCTAGTATCAAGGGAAAAAGCACACTAAGTCAATGCAGGTCTCTGTAGCTATTAGAAATCAGACCCCATCTCACAGTCCTTACTCAGACAGGGTCGCTATTGTCAGCCTCAGAGGTGGAAATCAGTTGTGTCCTGGCTATGACTGTTCTCCCAAGCCCCACATCAGCTGTTCTCTCCACCATCCATTGAACCCAACTTCACACAGGCACTACAGCAGTGCACAAACCCACAACTGAAGGGGCCCCAAACACCACAGAGAACCAACACTGTCATTTCACAAAAGTCATACCTGTGCTTGTGCTTTCCCCATTTCTCAGGGATGTTGCCAGAAGACAGCCAGAATTAATAGTCTGGGGGTATTTTTCTACATCATCATTTTGGACACAAGATGCTACATACTGATATAGAAACAAGAATTGTGCCATCTTCTTTGATGAAGCTCAAGGTGAAGACAGACAACTATCAGGGATGGCCTATGCATACATGTTTCAGTGCCAGGATAGGACCTAGGCACCTCTCCCAAGCCCAGTGTCCTATGATTTGGTTTCCTCAAGAAGCAGAAGTGTTAGGAGACTCTCTGAAATCTCAGGGCTAAATGTTTAATGCAGGTTACAAGTGTATTCATGGATCTACAGGTGAAATTTAAGGTGAAGGAGGCAGCTTTGGAGAAATGTCTAGCCATACAGTTCCCTGTACTTTTCCTTCATTTAGGAATACTTTTTTTATATAAGCAAGATAGATTTGACTCTCTCCAAATTCAATTCTGCTAACATGCTTACGTTGAGAAAGCAGTGTCACAGAGAAATGATTCAGCTTTGGGTGAAGGAGGGGAGTGAAAAGGTAGGGGGGAACCTTAATTAACACATTCTTTTTAAAAGGAAAATTAGTGGGCTGTTTTTCTTTTCTTTTTTTCTAACAAATCTGTCATTTGTTGAGACTTAGGAAATTATCTTGTAACCAGGTAGGTTATCAACAGGCAAATACCCTATGGCTTAATGACTTGTGGATCATAAGATACACACAGCCAGACCTTATTATACTTAGCCCCTAGATCAAAGGGTTTTCACATAAATGGGGTGCAGTCTACCATAGCAGGGAGCTGCTGCAGGCCTTCAGGATTTTACTTCTTTAAAGTTTTGGTGATTACATAATCGCTTTTTTGTATCTGGAGCTCAAAGCATTGTATGTAGCTAATGAGCAGGTAGAAGAAGGAAAACAGCTGAAAAGCAGTCTTGACAAACAGCTGTGGCAGTAAGTGTCAGTCCTAGCCCAAAAGGGTCAATCCCCTTATGAAACAAGTACTTAATCCTTTACAATTTTTAATTAAAAATCTACCAAGAAGATTATAAAACTTCCTTAAGATTTTCATGGGGGAGGGAGCAAGGGAGAACTGAGGGGAGGTGTGTCATGCAGACCACAAGTTGCTTCAGTTGAGGTGCTCATCCTGTGCAAAGCCATGCTTCAGAGCTGGGGGCTCCCACACAAACACCACCTCACAAATGGGCGATGCAGTGGAGACCCCAGCACGTACCCATTGCCCACAAAATGTAATTAACCACTGCTTCATTAGCAAAGACTCCCTACGCTCTGCTGTAGTCCAGCTACACTTTGGCTGCACTTCAGCATCCTCTGAATCGGGAGAGTGAAACATAGGGCTCTCACCCCGCCCAGAGGTACTTAGCGAGCCCGTCTCCGCGAGGTCAGCATCCCCGGCCGGCAGCGGGGCTGCGGGCGAGCGCTGCCCAGGGCGCCTCTGCACTCACTCGCTGCCCATGCGAGGGCGGCAGGGGTAGCGCCAGGCGCTTCGCCCGGCTGGAGCGGGGCAGGCAGCCAGCTCCGCTTCCAAATACCAGCCGGTACCCGGGTGGCCGTGGCCGTCGCCGCCGGAGGCGGGGGCCCGGCGGGGCCCAGCCGGCGCTGCTTCCCGCGGGGGTGACAACGCGGCGGCTCTCCCCGAGCATCCCCGCGGGGCTTTTGTGCCTGCTTGGGGCGGGGGCCTGGCCGGTCCTCTCCCGAAGCGGTGGAAGCGCAGCCCCGCGGTAGCATCCTCCCGGGGGCGGGAGGAGTGACGGGGGCACGGGCGCACCGAGGGGCTACGGCGGACAAAGCGAGGCGGCAGGCGGGGACCCCCTCCATCCCCTCTTCTCCCCTCCATCCCCTCTTCTCCCCTCCCCGCGGCTCCGCTGCTGGCGGTGCCCGCGCCGCAGCCGCCAGCCCCGCATCCCGCGGCGGAGGCAGGGCCCGGCACTGCCCTGGCCCCTTCCCGCGGCTCCCCTACCTGTTCGGAAGAAAGCATCCACCTCGGAGTCAGGGACAGCGCCTTCCTCCGCCGCCCCTTCGGCGGGATTCATGGCTGGGGGAGAGGCGGCGGCGAGCCCGGCGGCTGGTAATATCCAGTGAGTTAGGGAGGAGGAGAGCCGAGAGAGAGAGAGAGAAAAAGAGGGAGGGAGAAGAGGAGGGAGGGAGGGATGGAGGCGCGTTCAGCTGCGAGCCCAACCGAGCGCCGCTCGGATCATCCCTTCCGCGGTGCCTGCGGGGCGGCTGCCCCGGGGCTGGGCTGCGCTGCCCCCGGGCTGCGCTGGGCGGTGCGGCCGGGGCGGGGTGCCGGTGCCGAGCCCCGCCGCCGCCGGCCCCCTCCCCTCCACCCGCTATTGTTCCGACCTGCTCCGCTCCGCTCCCCCCGCCGCCGCCGCTGCCCCTCGCCGTGCTGACAGCCCGGCCCGGCCCCCGGCGGCCGCCCCCGCCGTTTCCCTGCCGGCACTTCCTGAGCCAGGCCGGGAGCCAGCCGGGGAGGCTGCGGCGCCCCCCGCCGCCGGGGCAGCCCCTCTGCGGGGCGCGGCCGCTCCGGGCGGGGCGCGGGTCCGGCCGCCCCGGGCACAGGTGCGGGCACCGCCGCCCCGCGGGAGCCGGGAGGGAATTTTTGTTTTATTCCCTACCCCTGTAGGCTCCGCAGCCGTAGCGCTGTGCATCCCCGGGCTGCACCGCTGCCATGTCTCCCCTCTGATGAACAGCCGCGGGGGCACGGTGCGGCGCTCGGTTGTTAGCTGGGCAGGTAGTCGGGGGGCGAAAGTGAACGCTGATGTGGTTACACGGATACAAGAAATTATTCTTTGTTTTGGGGTTGGGTAGAGGGGTTAGGGGATTGTTTTATGTTCAGGAGCTGTTGGGCACGATTGCTTTGGAAACGATCAGCGAAACTGCATGTTGTTGCAGGTTTGCCTTCATATTTTAGTTTTTACAGTTTTCAGTGACTAGAGAGCCAAAAAGAAGTTTGGAAAGCCAAGATCCTGGTCCCAGCTCAGACATTGATTCTGCTCACTGAATGACTTTGATTTCTCTACTATAACTCCAGTATATGTGATTTGGGACAATAATTGTTGTCCTAAAGGGAGTGTTGTGAGGAATACTTGTTTGTACTTTGTTAGTTGCTGAGTTAAATGTTCTTCTCTGAGCCCAGCTATCAAAAATTTCAAGCACAGACAGGCAGAGATAGACGAAGACAGATGTTTGCCATTTGGGCACTTTCTTTTCCTGTTCACCTATTTGAAGTTTCCCCAGCTCCTCATTCTTCTGTGATCGCATAACAGTTCTAAAATGAGCTTAAGGAGAAATGCTGCTTTTTCACCTAACCACCACTGTAAAACAGGAATGTTACTCTCACACCTCACAGTGCTTCCTCTACCATTAGAAAGAAAAAGCAACTGTTGATGTGATGACCCCTCTGGCTGTATTATCCTTGGATAACCCATCGTGCTACAAAATCCCATCCATCACTCAAGAACAGAAGTCTTTTAGCCAGAACACCCCCATGGCCTCACTGTCTTTATCCTTTAGGGGTAATGCCTAGTCATCATTCATTTGCCATTGAAAATCCCTGATGTTTAAGGGACTTGAGGACAAAACCCCTCTGAAAACCTAGTCAGCATGGAGGGATGCACTGGAGCACTTCAAAAGAGGTATCAGTCTAGTGCATCTTAAGGAAAAAAATACTTTGTCTAGCAGAAGTGTCAGAGCCAACTGGCTGTAAGTGACACTGTTTGGATCAGTTCTCAATCTGTAGGTAGTTTAGCAACTGAGGTTGGCAGAACATTTTCTGTTTCAGCCCAGATTATTTTAGATGCCAGAGGAACATGGGTTTCCTCCACCTGATCTCTTCTCAATAGAACATGAGGGAAGGTTGGATTTGGGTGTATATTGCACTTGATTAAAAGACTGAAAATTTCCCTGCAGAAATGTAACTGTCAAAATGGTATTGACCAGTCAGGATAAGCACAGAGATCCCAGTCACATCTCCTCTGACCTTACTGTTTACTACTCCAATTGAAACAGAATATGTCATGCCTGGGGAATCAGAGATAAGAGCAAACATGCTACAGAGATCCACCTAGCATTTAGTTTCCTCATTCCCTCCCTCCTGGTATCTCATGTAGCACCATTTCCCATGCCTACCTCCAGCTGGTTTTAACTGAAGCCATTTATCTTTTTATGGATTAAAAAAAGGTCATTTCACAACTGTCTGCAGGAAGTAGTAACACAAAGTCTACATCCAGGCTGCCAAAACTCATTACACACCCTTGTGCAGCCTCTGACTTCTCTCCTCAGGACTAGCAGGACACCAGAAGCACCTCCATATCAGGCATGCCAGCAGTATGGCATTACCACAGTACAAGCAGCTGACTAAAATCAGTCTTTAAAGCACCAGACTTTCTTCAGTGGTCATTTACCCCTTCCACATCATGGCACAGTGCAGAAAAGCCTTCCCTCTTCCAGGCTTAAACAAGCTGCACCATTTTGGATTGCATCTCAAGATCTCATTTCTGAATATTCACTAGCCCAAAGTAGATTTGCTCCCCTGAACTCTTACATTCAGGTTCATTCAGGAGTGTGAGCTTGGCAGCTGGGAAGAATGTGGTTTCCTTGTGAACCTTCGAATCCACTCAGGACTTGGTATAACCTGGTTGGTGTTAGAATTAAAGCATTGGGGACCACCCTTAGAAGCAAGACAGGAGTTACCTCCAAGGAAGGTTTAGCATCATCCAAAGGGAATTAATTTTGTCAATGACAGAGAAATGAATATTCCACTTTCCTTAGCAACCCTGCAGATGTGCCTTACAGCATCAGTTGTAGGAATTATATAGGCTACAGAAAGCACATTTGTCTGTATAACCTCCAGCTGAAGGTGTTAGTAAATGCTGAGGGGAGGGAGAGCAGTCCATTTAGCTTACCTGCCATCCCAATACCTACACAGATTCCTAGTTAATGATTAAACCAGTGAAAATACTCATATTTAACTATATAAAATACCAGTATATTCTGAAAAGAAATTTATTTTTTTTTCTTCACAGAAAACCTTCATTGGATCATGAATGGTCTCAAATCTCTCATAATTTAAAACAAACAGGAATTTCCACTTTTTAAATAATAAAAGTATTTGGAGATATATTTTTGTTAAAGTCTATCAAGACGTAGCCGTGCCTTTTTCTTGCTCATTTCTGCTATGTAAGACACAGCAAGTTTGCTCTTCTCTGCTGGCAGCTCCACTGGCCAGGGAAGCCCTGCCCAATGTATTCACTGTTTTCATGGCTTTATCATTGAAGCAGCAGTCCTGCTGTCACATTTTGCACATACCTCTCATATACACATACCATGGCAATGCAGTGTGGGCAGTACTACAGTCCAATATCAGTAAACTTTAGTGGAAACCCAGACACTGGATGAGCTACTGTTTTTCTTGACACTGCAAGCAGAACAGGCCTGTCACTGTAAAATATCATTAACAACTAGGAACCACCATGACTTCAGTGCAAGTCCCAGCAATGAGTTTATAGTTTTTGTTGTTCAAAGAAGAGCTGTTAAATATAGAATGAAATACTATCTGCAATGTATAATTCCCTTTTTAGATATAATGCTGAAGGCACCTACACTTTCCTTGAAAAGCAAAATATGGAAAAAAAACCCTGTAGAATTACATAAGCCAAAATACAGTAGTTTCACTGACAGATACTGCTTTAATCTTTTGCATGGCTCTACTTGACAAATACCTCAATCCATACCAAACAACTTCATTTAACTAGGTATGAATGTTTTTCTTTTTGACAGCCCTTAAAGCTGCTCAAAGATCAGAAACTGTCACAAAGGCTTTTGATTTAAGGCCTCTGCTACAGTCAAGTTTTCCAATGGAAAAAATGGCAATAGGTGGTATCTGAGATGAAACATTTTTTAGCTAAATCTCATAAATTTGCATGCTACAGGATGGGAGGAGGAAGAGGAATGTGAACAAGAAATCAGTAAAATTCATCTTTCCAAGCAGATCCAAGACAAGAAAAATGTATTTGATGGCTCCAGGACAGCTACACTGCTGGAATCAGAACAGAACTCTGAGAAGGCACCTGCAAAGGTGTGTCCTGCACAAAGGGTCAAGAGTCTGGTGCTTCAAAACACAGTACATGGGCCAAGAGTTGTCATTCAAATGGGACAGGGAGAAAACCCATCTGCCACACTCAGCAGATGAGCTGCAGTCTGCAAGGTGCTGCAGAGCCAGTTGCTTGTGCAGAAAGTCCCTCGCATTCAGTGACACAGCAATGTCTAAATAGAGAGTGTTTTTAGGAGGTGGGATTGAGAGAAAACCTGAATAGCAGAGCAGAAAAATGTAAGTCTTAAAAGTACCTAAGGCTGTCTTGTTAATAAGTTATTTGCAGCTACATTCTGGGTATGTGAGAAGAAATTCTCACACCTGTTTAGGCCTACGTCTAGGTATTAGACTTGAAATTACTATGCTCTTATATGGGACCAGGCACAGTGGGGTGGAAATTTCCATCTGTATTCTAGACTGTCAGGAATCCTGCAAGGGAAAATCTGCAAGTCCCCAGAAACAGGGTGTTCAGAGAAGCCTCCAGGGCAGGATGGAGGAGGCAGAAGACATGTTTCATATGCTTAGACTCAAATGCCCATATATATGCCAGAGATTATTTCTGGCTCAACAGACAGCATGTACACATCAAGGTTGGCTCTGCAGCACCCAAATTCACACTCACATGTGTGGTTTAGCTCTACTGTTTGCTCAGATGTGGAACACCTGTACGGGAAGGCATAGAGTGAGCTCTAATACCATGCCAAAGTCTCTGTCCCAGTATCATTCCACCTCTTTATATTTCCCCTCTGCATCACAGCTGAAGTGGGAATGTCTGCTCAGTTGCCATCTAGTCTCCTGCTTTCAGAGCCGACATAAATTTCATTTTCCCCAAACTTGGACAGAAAGCTGAGCAATAATCATTTCTCTACAGAAACACCACCCCACCCAGAGGAAAGCAATAGCAATTAGCAGAACAATTTACAAAATATATAATATTTTTATCACGATAACAATGCAAAGGTTTACTCGCATCATCAGTCAGACAAATGTGTCTCCTCCGTAAGTTCCAGAACTGCATTTGCCACTCTGGCCACAGAAGCTTAGACTGAATTTGCAACAAGCAGAACAGCTGATGCATCCAAGAAGAAGACACAAGCCTTAGCTAAGTTTACAGATATGAATCTGGAAGAGCCAACAGTGACTGAAAATTCTTTTC